AGAATTACAGAAGTTATAGAGCGATGAGAAGAAGAAAAGAGATGATTGTACTAGTCAGAACTTTACAGATGACCACTGAGAATTTAAAAAATTATTGAGAGGTCAGCAGATGTCATAATGGTTACCTTGCTAGACTCCCACGTAGTTAACTGTGGTTCGAGTCCTGGACCTGGTGGCTTAAAACTCACACTGGGTGTGTGTATGTGCATGCCCAAAATCCTGAGAGGAGACTTGAAGAGAAATGCCCTATAGCAAAAACCTCTCTCAAATATATATATGTTTGAGATAGAATTTTAAAACATAATATGTGGATTAGAGGCTGGAAGTAGTGCATTCAGTACAGTTGTTCAGGAGGTGGTGGTTTAACTATGGACGGGTAGAAATGATGAAGCAGATACATACTTACCACATAGCAGGTACTATTCTGAGGACTTCCTTACTAGTAATTCTTTCAGCTCTCATAAAAACGCATATAAATACCATGATTATCTCTGTTTTACAGATGAAAAAAGCCATGACATGGAGAAGTCACTGTCCTAGAATGTGGCAGTACCCTGGGTAGAATGGCTCCAGAGTTGGGCTCATCCCCGCCATGCCATACTGTCAGGCTTTCCACGTTGAGGGTATTAGAATGTTTTTGTCCCTACTTCTGCTGTTTCATGGCTCATGTTGAAATAATAAGTACCATGGATTTATGTATTTTCTGTTGAATGTGTACATGAAACAATTAAAAAATGTAAACACTTGCATAAAAACATGTCTCTTCAATAACCATGGCATGGAGGCATGCAGATAGTATGATAACACTTCCCTGTTCTCCTGCTTAGACACAAGACTTAGAGTAAGAGTTGACAGTATTAGTGGGTACAACTTCTAAATTAATAAGCTCTTCCAAAACACAGCTTACTACATAACACAATGAAATAAATGTGTTTATTCATTTGGTTTGTTATTGAAGCTCTGGACTTGAGGAGCCATGAAGCAAGATGGGATAATAAACAGTACGAGATGCCCTAGGATACTGGAGTGCAATTCTGCTACATCTCCCTACATTTGCCACTGAGCTGTGTGTCATCGGATGGTGGCATTATCTTGAATCAGACTTAATGCTGAATGTGAGAGGGAATTCCTCCATGGACGACTCTTACAGAGTGCTTCTGTAACTGGTCCTGGTGGGTTGGAAATGTCTCTGCCATGTGAGCATCAGTCCTTTACCGTGAGAGCTTGTGGGATTCATTGTACGGAGTTTTATCTAATTGCCATCACCTCTTTCAAGTTTTTAGTCAAGTCTCACCTTTTCAGTGAGGACCATCCTGATTCTTATTGAATACTGCAACCTGACCACCTCCCTACCCCAAACCCCTATTACCCTCAGCCTTTTCTTTGGTCACTGCATGTATTAACGAATAGGCTATGGAATTGTAGTTTATTGTCAGATAATGTGTCCTTCGTGAGGGCAGGATGTCAGCCATTTGTTTAATGATGAATCCCAACTGACTGAAAGAGTGCCACTTAGTACATGCTCATTATTTTATCTTCTTTTTTTGGAGAGGTTTTTTGCTATAGGGCACGTGTGCTCACCAGAAAGAGAGAGATATAGAGACAAGAAGTGAAAAATCACCCCCCAGGGTGGCTGGCCACGCCGCAGTCCCTTCTCCTCCTTTATCCTCTCGGGATCTTGGGCACACACGCACACAAGCCTGGCGTGAGTTTAAGCCACCGGGTCTGGGACTCGAACCGTGGTCGACTATATGGGAGTCCAGCGACATAGCCATTACACTAACTGCTGGTCCCTATCTTTTTTTTTAAATGTGAGATTTTTTTTTGCTATAGGACTATGCACTCTCCAGAGACAGAGAGACAGAGAGACAGTGAGACAGTGAGAAATCACTCCCCAGGGGGAATGGCTACACCACAGTACCCTCTCCTCCATTCTCCTCTAGGGATTTTGGGCACACAAGCACACAGCCTGGTGTGAGTTATAAGCCACTGGTCCGGGACTCAAGCGGCAGTCGACTACGTTGGAATCCAGTGACGTAACCATTACGCCATCTGCTGGTCCCCTCAATTTTATCTTCTTAATGAGTGAATCTATGTTCAGAGGTCATTATTGTATACAGGAAAAAATGACATGCTATCAAGGATTTAGCATATTCAAGGTTTGATTCCTCCCCCCCCCCAATCATAATAGAGCATTGTGCACAAGCATATATGATAGCTTAGGGAGACAGACAGACAGACACTTTCTACAGGGCTCGCTCCTGCCAGGATCCCCTTTCTCCTGTCCTCCAGCCCTCCAGGTCCTGGGCACATATGCATAACCAGTCCAGAGACTTGGACCACAGGCAGCATGTGGCTTCCAGCTCTGAAGTCTGGTGGCTGCTAACTGAGGCACCTGAGGTACAGAAGCTGGGCCAGGGCTCATGTTTCTGAAAGAACAGTTTCTGTTTTCAGTTGGAAGTGTGCTTGGCGACTTAACCTCAGAAAACAGGTGACTGAGTAGGAGTGCTTCTGCCCTGAACTCTACCTGTCTGTAAATGCGAGGAGCAGTGAGGTCACACTTACTGATAAAATTGTTTTCCAGGGAACCAGCAGTTAGCGTAATGGCTATGTCGCTGGACTCCCACGTAGTCAACCATGGGTTGCGTCCCGGACCCGGTGGCTTGAAACTCATGCCGGGCGCATGTGCGTGCGTGCCCAAGATCCCGAGAGGAGAATGGAGGAGAAGGGATTGTGGCGTGACCATCCCCCCGGGGGGTGATTTCTCGCTTTCTGTCTCTATGTCTCTCTCTGTCTGTCTGGCAAGCACACACGCCCTATAGCGAAAATCTCTCCAAAAAAAAAAAAAAATTGTTTCCAAAAGGGAAACCTTCTCACTAATTTAAGGCAGTCATGTAATCCGATTTAGGCTCGGTAGTTTTCCATTTGCTATCTGGCAGTCTAACTACTTTTAAATAAAGCTATGTATAGGATGAAAGAATACAAATTGGAAATCTGGGGCAAGGTGGTTGATAATATGGAAACGTATGTATTTTCTTTGTTTTGTCATTGTTCAAGAAATAAGATGCAGGGGATAAAAAAGATTTGAGGAGGGATCATTCCAAAGCGTTCCCTAGAGGGAGTCTCATATACATTTTATTCTTTCACTAAGAGCCTTTGTTATAACCTAAATGTTTTGAATTAGTGTATTATTACATTTTTCCATTCAGCTACATGTCTGGCCCAAAGCTATGAAGGAAGAGGTTGTCTAAATTGTTTCAAAAACTGTTTTGCCATGAAGTGAAACTGGGTGAGATGTGAAAAGCATTCTTTTCCTTTGTCCCTTTTCATGGTATTTCCTGATGTATTATATTCTTCTCCTTTTTGTTCCTGCCCCTTTAGCCCTGGAATATGTTTTCCCATTGCCTGTTTGTACTTCATTTCTGATTCCTCCATTTCTCTTTGTGTTTCCCCGGTTCTCTGGGCTAATCACAAGCGGATGAAAGAACAAGAACTCAGTACAGTTTATTCAAGTTAAAGAGTAACTCAAATAATGTTTGTTTGAGAATACTGCCAGGGAGGGATGATTATGAAATTCTGTAATGGCTATGTCGCTGGACTCCCACGTAGTCAACCATGGGTTGCGTCCCGGACCCGGTGGCTTGAAACTCATGCCGGGCGCATGTGCGTGCGTGCCCAAGATCCCGAGAGGAGAATGGAGGAGAAGGGATTGTGGCGTGACCATCCCCCCGGGGGGTGATTTCTCGCTTTCTGTCTCTATGTCTCTCTCTGTCTGTCTGGCAAGCACACACGCCCTATAGCGAAAATCTCTCCAAAAAAAAAAAAAAATTGTTTTCCAAAGGGGAACCTTCTCACTAATTTAAGGCAGTCATGTAATCCGATTTAGGCTCGGTAGTTTTCCATTTGCTATCTGGCAGTCTAACTACTTTTAAATAAAGCTATGTATAGGATGAAAGAATACAAATTGGAAATCTGGGGCAAGGTGGTTGATAATATGGAAACGTATGTATTTTCTTTGTTTTGTCATTGTTCAAGAAATAAGATGCAGGGGATAAAAAAGATTTGAGGAGGGATCATTCCAAAGCGTTCCCTAGAGGGAGTCTCATATACATTTTATTCTTTCACTAAGAGCCTTTGTTATAACCTAAATGTTTTGAATTAGTGTATTATTACATTTTTCCATTCAGCTACATGTCTGGCCCAAAGCTATGAAGGAAGAGGTTGTCTAAATTGTTTCAAAAACTGTTTTGCCATGAAGTGAAACTGGGTGAGATGTGAAAAGCATTCTTTTCCTTTGTCCCTTTTCATGGTATTTCCTGATGTATTATATTCTTCTCCTTTTTGTTCCTGCCCCTTTAGCCCTGGAATATGTTTTCCCATTGCCTGTTTGTACTTCATTTCTGATTCCTCCATTTCTCTTTGTGTTTCCCCGGTTCTCTGGGCTAATCACAAGCGGATGAAAGAACAAGAACTCAGTACAGTTTATTCAAGTTAAAGAGTAACTCAAATAATGTTTGTTTGAGAATACTGCCAGGGAGGGATGATTATGAAATTCTTAGCACAATTAGGTGTTCACATGGTAATTACACTTTAAAGATTAAACTCAGTAGAATATTTTATCACATTTCTCATTTGTAATGGGGAAGTTGGGTTTTTTTGGTTTATTTGGTTTGTTTTTCCTTTTTCTTTTTCTTTTTTTGTGTGTGTGTGTGTGGGAGGAGCGTTTTGGCAGCTATGTGCAAATAGAATCACACTTTGGAACACACAAAGCTGATTCTCAGTCACTGGCAAAGAAGGGTGAGAAGACAGGGCATCCCAATTTGCACAAAAATGCCTGCAAGTCATCATTTGCAGCTCCTAGGAGATCCTGTTCTGAAGTTTTACTGCGAGTAAACGTGCCTTTGGTGTGAGAGGCAGGACCTGGGGGCGTGGTTGGGAAACAATCGTTTGGCTTTTTTTTCTCCTTCAATCAGTACAAATCCCATACACCCTGAATTAACTAACTGCAGAGTCAAAGAATCAACATGGAACTGCTCTCAGGCTTGTCGGCTCCTGTAAAAGATCTGGATGGTCACACTGGCCTGGTAAAAATGGGGGACATGTTTGTTTTTGCGTTGACTCCCTAGAGAATATCCGTATTTTTTATGGACTCCAGAGAGGAGAAACTTGGGAGCCACTGGAGAGAAAACGGAATGAATGGGCACCGAGGCAGAAAGCCTGATGTGGCCATCATGCAAATAAGAACCGTGATTGGCTTTCTCTTTCTTTCTAGGCACATTGTCACTGGCTGCTCCCAGCCTTAAAGATTAGGTTTCAGTGGGAGTGTTTCAGGTTCAAGGGCTGTTAATGGGTTGTAACTGCCTGACAATAAGCTCAACCTCAGAATTACATCAGCCTGGGCAGATGTCTAAGGATATGAGACCAGAGGGGAAAAGTTAGAATCTGGTACAGGAGGACGGACGCAGCTTGCCACCTGCCTACTGGACCGAGTTTTTAATGTGGTTTAAATTTCCAAACCCTATGTAGGCATCCTGGAAATGGTGGTCTTCATTAATGCAAAGATCAAGTCCTTAATTAAACTTTTTAAGAAGAAAAGTAAGTAGTTTCTTTTTTTGCCAGTTGCGATTGTGTTCATATGTGTCTGTGTGGGGGTTTTATGTACTATGTCATTCTTTTGAGTGACGGAATTAGAATATGAAAGACCATAATTGGAATGAGTTAAATTCCACTCTATGCCAGGTTGTTTAAATACCTCGGACTTTTGTGACTTTAGGAGAGTCTTATGTGATCTTAGCATGTCATTTATTTATGCTCAGAGTTTTAAGCAAATTCCCTTCTTTTGTACTTCTTCCAAGAAGTCGTTTGAAGAAGAGAAAAAAAAAAAGAATTCCTTGTATTTACTTTGTTTCCCTTGATTTATAGTGGGTGGCTTTTGTTTGTTTGCTTGCTTGCTTTTTATTCTCTTGCTACATGTGAAGCTGAAGTAAAGGGGCTTTGTGTAATATAGCACATGTTTTTGGTGGAGACGATCCTCTGAAACTCCCTGGCACACTCTGTTCTGTATTGAAGAGCCTGAGGACAAACGGTCTAGACTGACTGATCAGCGATTGTTGGAAAGTACAGAGCTTTCACGGTGCGGCTTCACTGTGTACTTACTGTTGATTAAGATTTTTTTGATCCAGGTGCTTCTTCATTCCCTTGAAAATAGAACTTTTACAACTGCATGGCTTGGTTTTTACCTAGTGGCTGGTTTGGTTTATTGTAGTTTAGTTTCATTTTTGGACCAGTGACAAACTGGATAAATGCGCATGGGTAGGGGCATTCGTAAGAGAAACTATAGAGAAAGCAAGAAAGACCAGCACTGGGGGCTATTTGCTGTAACTCCCTTGCTCAAAGGCTGTCTCTGAATGGACGAGTTCTGCTCTGGCAAGAGTGAGATGCCCAGGGAAGAGACAACTGCTCTTTTCTAGGAGCAGTTTGATGGTAGCCATGCAGCGAGGGCTTATGGTGCGCTCTCTCAGACTCAATGCCATTCCTTGGACTTGATTTGAATTGGCAAATGGGGAAGGTTATGATTTTCAGTATGTTCTAGCTATGAAGTACAGTGACTCAATCTTTAAAATAAATCCATGTGAGCACAAAACATTTTAATGAACACTGGATACACTTTGGGGGCAGCTGGCAAGTTTGGCACTGCAGAATTCTATAGGATGGAACCCAAAGTGAAGTCAGGCCTTGGTAGCTTTTATCTGTTCGGACCCAGAATGTATTGCACCATGTGAAACATTTGTTCAACAAGAGGTTACGTGAAATACTGACTACACCATTTACATGCTGCTTTCATCAAACAGTGTAAGCGGAAGACCTTTCTGTTTTTAACTTGAGGTCTAGTTCTCAGTGTTTATTTTCCCATTTGGCAATATACAGAGAGGGTGGGAGCCTTAAAGAAATCAATTATTTTTGAAGTCAGAAGGTGGCATGGTGGTTAAGGTGCTGGTCTCCCACATGGCTGATGGCAGTTCGAGTCTCAGACCTGGCAGCTTGCTTTCTCACTTTCCCTTTTTCTCTCTCTGGTCAAATTTTAAAAATAATAAGAAATAAAATAAAATATATACTTGTTTTTTAAAAAGAAACAAGTTATTCTTTTTAGAGTCATCGGATTGTAACATTTAGTTGCAGTAGAAAACTTCCTGTTTGGGGTGAGAGCTAAACTGACTTGGGTTACAGGGCGTTGGGAAAAGAACATCTTCAGTAATGGTTCTGAAGTTAGGGGTCTTTTAGAATAAGTTTTGCTGTCTGCTTCAACTTCATGTGACTTTTTTCATAACTAAGAGCTTCATGCATGCAAGGGAATTTCAAAAAGTTTATGGAAAATGGAATTAAACTATGAATTTATTTTGATCCAAAAAATTTTGAAATCCATGCAATAGCTTTTCCGTAATATATGTTCTTCATAAACTTTTTTCTTTTTGGAAAGATTTTTTTTGCTATAGGGCACATGTGCTCACCAGAAAGACATAGACAGAGAGAGAGAAAGCGAAAACCCACCCCCCAGGGGAAATGGCCACTCTGCAGTCTCTTCTCCATTCTCCTCTTGGGATCCTGGGCACGCACGTACACGCGCCCAGTGTGAGTTTAAGCCACCGGGTTTGGAACTTGAACCACAGTCCACTAACATGGGAATCCAGCGACATAGCCATTACACCTACTGCTGGTCCCATATTCTTTATAAACTTTTAAAAAGACTCCTGGTATTTGTTCATTTGATCTTTATAGTCGCCCTAATCGCTGTGCTGTGGGGTGTGTTTAGTCAGCTTCTATATGGTAAAACAGATTCTGTTCCCTTCACTGAGAATCTGTCTTATGGTCTAATTTCCAGATACGTCTTCCCGTGTCGAAATGGGCGTGCTCATGTGAATGCCATAGCACAGGTCTGGGAAGGAGAGTCTTGCCCCTTACAATTCTGGCATCTGCTGTTTTTATAGGAGCTGGACTAGTCACCTCAAGTAAATGCCTCAGCACAGGGACTTCTGAATCTCCCGTCTCTCCTCTGCCTGGATTACATGGCAAATGTGTAAAAATTATTAAATCTTGTTTTGATGTCATAAGCTTCATTTGGGGTCACCAATGCCACAACTTAGGTTGTGGTGTTGGGAAAAATGAAATAAAGAGGTCCTAATGCCTAGGGGGAGTAAAGGAAAATGATACAGATTTATTTGAGTCTCAGGATTAACTTTTATTTTCCCCTTTAATGTTTTGGTCTGTTTTGTGTTGGGAAAAGTTTATTACATTGTAATTTTTTAAAATTAGTATTAAAATATTCTATGAAAGCAAGAAATGCTGAGAACGTTTTGTAGTACGTGGATCTTTATATCTATTAGATATGCTATATTCAATTAAATTAAAAAAACAATTGAATTTGAAACAGTTATGTTTTTAAATAATACTTTGGAGGTCTCCACTTCTTGGTAGGAAATTTGTTTTTGTCAAGATAGTTTAACATTGGGGACCAGCCGGTGGCGTAGTGGTTAAGGTGCTGGACACTCCCACATGGCTGACCACGGTTCAAGTCCTGAACATGGTAGCTTGCTTTCTCACTCCCCCTCCCCGTTCAAATTAAAATAAATGAATGAGTAAATACAATTAAATAAAATAAATCTTTAAAATAAAAAGGTAGCCTAACATTATTGATGCAGTGGCATTATACAGTTGAATAACTGGCATTTTCTGTAGTCGAGTTAAGTAGGAATTTGAGTTCTCTATCGCTTTCGTCAGTTGTTTTCTAACGTTGGTGTAGAGGGAGGACCTGGAATGCTGGGAAGCAGTTAACTGAGCCACCGAGTCTACAGAATCATGGGAATGATGGAGAGTTTCAGCGTTGCCTTCTCAGAGAAAGCACTGTAGGCAAGACCCCTCCCTGGAGGCTGAGATGACATGTCATGTAAGATTCGCTCCATTTCCCTTTGCTGGCCCCTACCCGTGGCTGCATTAGGAACACTTATCCTGTCTAGATACTGTCTTATTATAATAAAGTTGGAGCCACTGAAGTTTCACTTGACACCTGATTTTTTTGTATCTTTGTTTCTGTAGCTGTTTCCAACCTAGACGAGGAGAGTCGATGGACAGTGCACTATACTGCTCCGTGGCACCAGCAGGAGAATGTGTTCCTTCCCAGCACCAGACCGCCCTGTGTCGAGGACCTGCACCGCCAAGCCAAGCTCAACCTCAAATCAGTATTGAGAGGTAAGGTGGCTGTCTCTGGTGAGCTTGTGTTCTTGGATTATTGACTTAGCACTGGGAGGACAAATTTGATCAGTCTCTGTAGAAGATCTGTTTATACTAAACATGCATATCTTATTCTACATCTTTGTAAGATACCGTAAATGTAAATACAACTTGGTAGTGCCTAAGATGTTGTGGTCTCTGTAGAAACCTGCCTGTTTACAGATAGGCAAATGTATTTTCAAAGAGCCTATGTCTGCCTAGAAACATTTTGGTATGTTGAAGCCACTTTTGCTAATTGAATCCTGATAAACCACTGTTGGCATGGAAAATTTTGTTACTACCTTTTGAAAAACATTATAAGTATTCAAAGCAAATTTGTTTTCCTGATTGTTTTCAAGCTGAGTGGAAAGGGGACTTTGTAGGAGTGCCAGATGATTCGCTTTGTTGACACTTGGGTAGCACATGGATTCCTCTAAGCATAGACTTTGTCAGTGGATAGGCAGTGTACCCTGTGGTCCATAGAAAATATAGGAAGAGTATACTACTATATTTAAAATTAGTATTTTTTTTTGAGAGGTTCTTGCTATAGGACATGTACGCTCGCCAGAAAGAGACAGACAGAAAGACAGAAAGTGAGAAATCATCCCCCCAGGGGGGATGGCCATGCTGCAATCCCTTCTCCTCCATTCTCCTCTCAGGATCTTGGGCACGCACGAAGCACACATGCCCGGTCTGAGTTTAAGCCACCGGGTCCGGGACTTGGACAGCTGTCAACTACATGGGAGTCCAGTGACATAGCCATTATGCAAACTGCTGGTCCCACTATATCTAAAATTCTAATTTTTAATTTCAGTTTAAAAAGTTCTGCAGGGGGTGTTCTCTCACTCTCTCAAGCATTCCCATGGTGCATGGTCACATCGCAATCCCTTTTCTTCCATCTCTTCCTCCTTTTGAGATTTTGGCTATGCATGCACACATGCCTGACGTGTTTCTCAAGCTGGGTCAACCATGTGGGATCCTGCTGCCTTAGCTACCACACCATGGGTCCAGCCCAAGAAACTTTCTTAAAACAAACAGAAAAGCAAAACCCAAAAAACCCTCAGTTTTTGGAGAATTTTGTTTTGTTTTTGCTATAGGGTGCATGTGCTTGTCAGATAGAGAGAGACAGAAAGCAAGAAATCACTCCCTAGGGGGGATGGCCACGCCACAATCCCTTTTCCTCCATTCTCCTCCCAGGGTCTTGGGCATGCACACACATGTGCCCGGCATGAGTTTAAGCCACCGATCTAGGACTCGAACCACAGTCGACTACATGGGAGTCCAGTGACATAGACATATGCCAACTGCTGGTCCCAAAAAACTCAGTTTCTATTGTACCAGATGCTACTTCTCCCAGATTTCTCCTACTATGCAATATTTGAGACATAAGTATATGAGAAAAAGATTTGTTATTTACCTGAAATTTCATTTAACTTAGCATCCTGTATTTTATCTAATTGTGGAAGACTTCAGTATGGGAGAAATTTGGTCGTTGATTCAAAGAAAACTCAACACGAGGACACTTCCAATTTTTTGATAATTTTTTCTTATAATATCATTGTTAAGTGATTCACCACCACCACCCCCCATTTATGATAAAATATGTGTGCACACTTATTGAGAGAGAGAGAGAGATGAGCACAACCCACAGGGCTAGGCTGCAGTCCCCTTCCCCCTCCTCCAGCCCATCAGACCTTGAGCACCCTGTGCCTGGTGTCTTTTCAAGCTGATGTGCCTGGGATTTGAACCAGGGTCAGCATGTGTGATCCAACTTTTCTCGAGTAGCACATAACTACTGCATCACAGGGTCAGCTTCAAGTGGTTCATTCGTTAATGAAGAACGAACTATAATTACTAATATTTCTCAAACACCTACCTGCAGTGTCAGGTATTCTTCTAAGCCCATTAATTGCATTTTCTCATTTAATCCTCACAATACTTCTATTATTTACTATGAAGAAATGGAGGCACAGAGATTAGACATTTACCTAAAACCTCAGAGTGAACTAGTGATAGGACAAGGTTTTAAACTGGGATTATCTGAGGTTATAGGTCTGAGACTCCTGACTGGCAAACTATACGGCCTTTAACAACTGAATGTTGGAAATCTATTATTCTTGCAAAAGTGCTAAATATGAAGGCCAAATCCTAGCTCTCAAGGAATTTCTTTTTGTATCTATCACGCAAAACACAATGTGAAAAATACTCAGGAGATGTGCCAAAAATTGCTGTGTGAGAATTAGAGAAAGCAGAGAACTTCTGCTGGGAGGGAAGAGGAATAGCTATTGATAGAGTCACCATCGATTTAGTATTCTAAACAGAACTATACAAACAGTTTCCATTTTTAAGTTTATTTATCTCTTCCATGAGCAAGAGAGAAAGAGAGAGAGAGAGAGCACCCCCAGGAGCCGGATGCTGTGATCCACCCCCAACTTTAGCCAGCCCCAGACCATGGGAAGACATGTGCCCAGCATACTTACGGAGGTCTTTGGACTTGAACATGGAACTTTCCCATATCAGATTGCTTCACAGAGCATTTTTAGTTTTTTTCCACAGGCCACATGCATTCACTGGAGAGAAACAGAGAGAAGGAAACTAAGAAATCCCTATCCAGGGGGGATGGCCACAGAATAATCTTGTCTCCTCCCTTCTCCTCTTGTGATCTTGAGCATGCATGCACACACATGGACCTGACATGATTTTCAAGCCTCTGGGTCTGGGGATTGAACCACAGTCAAACACGTGGGAGTCAGTGCCTTAACCACCATGCCACCGTTGGCCCTTGCGGAGCTTTGTGTTTTACCACTGTGATACCATCTGGGCCCTAGAGAAACATTTTAGATCATAGCACTATTTTTTTCTTTAATTTTTTAAAAAAAGTTTATTCATGATAATGAGTGAATGTTCATACTCCTGAGAGAAAGGAGAGGGAGAGGGAGAGGAGAAACATCCTTGACAGGGTCTCTTGAATCACCTATCTCCGGCCTCCCAGTTCTTCTCCTGGGCATGCATACGTGCTTGTCGTGTTCCAGGTCCGCCTGGCCAGTGTTCTGAACCATAGTTGGCCACGTGGCTTCTAGCACTGCAGTTCTGTGTGCTACTGGGCTGGGCTCCTTTAATCTTTTATGACACTTAGATGATCTCATGTATCTTGTATCTTATAGTCTTGGCATTGGACTGCCCAGAAATAAGGGCATTATTAGGTTCCCTTTGCAGTTGGACTGAGTAGTTTGAGTAGCTGAAATGAGAAGAATGGCATTAGTTTGGCTCATTTGGACAGCCTTAGAGATGTCCTTGGTGTTTTTCTGCCTTCATAATATATCAGTTACTTAATGTCCTAAGCCCAACCAGCATTTCCTCTAGATCCCTTCAGTTCCCAGCAATTTATCTTTAGTAAATTTCAACAAGGAACTTCTCTACTTATAGTTCATCTTCCTCCACCAAATAATTAATAAGAATGTTAAATGGCACTGTTCCCAGGACACATCCCTGAGGCAGTACCTTATTAACATTTCTCTGAGCCACAGAACACTGCATGGTCTGGCTTGCAGAAAGGCTTTCATGAAGGTACGTGTGAGTTTGGATATTCAGGCCCAAGTATTTTTTTGATCGCTTTCCAGGAAATTGTGCTTCACTACCTGTTTCTTGTATTTTCAAGTTCCAGATCGGGATTTTTCTATTCAGTATATCCATATGAAATAATCATCACCACTGATCTTGCCTAAACTTGAATTTTATTTTAAAAAGATATATGCTTTCGGGCCAGCCAGTGGCATGGTGGGAAAGGCAGCTGGATTCCACGTGGTCAGCCAATGGTTCAAGTCCTGGACCTAGTGACTTGAAGTATACATTGGACATATGTGCTTGTGTGCTCAAAATCCAGAGAGGAGAATGGAGGAGGCAGGATTGAGGCGTGGCCATCTCCCCCTGGAGGATGTTTTCTCAAGTCTCTTTCTCTCCCCTCACCTTCACTGTCTCTCTCTGGTGAGTGTATGTGCCCTATAGCAAATTTAAAAAGAAAGGCAAATGTTTTCATAATTGTTTTAATGCCCTATAATGGTTCATCAAAGGGATTTATTTTTAATAACATTAATAACTTTAGAAAATTTGCAAAGCTGAAATTTTAAACTCTGGGTTTAAAAACTCTTTTGAAGAGCTTTAGACCAATAATAACTTTATGAATAATGGTTGGGAGAGATGAAATGAGAAAAGGCATTTGAGTTCTTTTGTTCTTTATTTATTTACTTTTAATCACATGAAGACTTCCCTACCTCGTCTTAACAACTGAGATAAACATGGCATAAGAGCAGAGTATTTACTGTCTCGTTATCAGCGAAGAGTAAAAAGAAATCCAATTCTTTTTTTTTTTTTTGAGAGATTTTCACTGTAGGGCGCGTGCGCTCGCCAGACAGACAGAGAGAGACATAGAGACAGAAAGCGAGAAATCATCCCCCAGGGGGGTTGGTCACGCCGCAATCCCTTCTCCTCCATTATCCTCTCGGGATCTTGGGCACGCACGCACACGCGCCCGGCGTGAGTTTTAAGCCACCGGGTCCGGGACACGAACCACGGTCAACTACGTGGGAGTCCAGCGACATAGCCATTACGCTAACTGCTGGTTCCCAAGAAATCCAATTCTTGAGTAGTGGCACTAGTAAGGTTTGTTTGGTAGGTGATTCATCTAAGTGTATTCTTCCTCAATATTCTTTACTTAAAGACATAGAAAGGTGGAGGCCAGCAGGTGGTGTAGCAGTTATGTTGCTGGACTCCCACATGGCCAACCCCAGTTTGAATCCCAGACCCCGTGACTTGAAAGTCATGCTGGGTGTGTGTGCATACATGCCCAAGATTCCAGGAGAAGAACAGAGGAGAGAAGGGATTGTGGTGTAGCCATCCCCCTGGGGAGTGATTTTTTACTTTCTCTCTCACTGTCTGTCTCTCAGGTGAGTGCATATGCCCTAAGGCAAGTAAGCTGCTCT